TATATATATGCTGCAATTTTTTCTTTGACTTTTCCCACGTACGTAGCAACGAACAACCAAAAAAGTGATGCTGGTCCCATTTTCGGCGTATCTTAATGAATTGCTAACAACAAAAGTTGACATTGCACAATCTTTAAAACGGACAGGTACATTTTTCTTACAAAATAGTATTTTAGCGTATTTTTGTAAATTTTCCCATTTCCAGCGCTACATTTGCTAGTCTCGGGAGGTAACATTGGAATAAAACACGGAACTCCGGGCCGAGACACGGCAGTTTGAAGTCCTGAGAATTCCTTCTCATTATTGGGAGATGTGGACAAGGGGGTGGTATAACAACATTATGTAACCGTAAGTTTTCTTTAATATCCTTTGCAAGAATAGAGTGAAAAACGCTTAATTAGCTTCATCGTACAGCCCAATTTTCACTTGTCTTAATTTTCGAAAATTGGAAAATTTTCAATTTCTTGGTCTCTTCAAATATCTGAAGACAGGTTTTCTCTCAACGAGTTTTCAAAATTAGACCTTCAATTAATGTCAGGTATATTTTTTTGCATGTGTAGATTTCGCATAACATTTAATGAAGAGGCAATTTAGAAAACTACGCAAACGAAATTTTCTTAAAAACTACAATTGTTTCTTTAAAACTTTTTGCACAGGCAGCACAATGCGTGGAATCATATGAAATTTGATTATTTTTAATAACATATGGACTTTATAATGTAGCTCACGTTGCTATTTTCAGATGCTTTGATAATATACTAATGCATTAGTGAGCACAAATACTTCAAATAATCTGTAATGAAGATTACAAGTTTTCGAGTCTACAGGAGCGCAAAATTCGCGATTTTCAAAAATGGTCAATGACATTTTCACTTACTCTTCTGTGATTTGCGCAGCGGCTGAATCCGACCTAGCTAAGTTGCTGGTGTCGAAAATCCTCCCACCTTCCGGACACGAACCCTAGGACGTCCCAGTCAGAGGCACAGTAGTGACTTCAATTGATACCCGGAGCACCTTACGCTGTCACACGGGTCCGACATTAGTTAACTCTTTTCATATGTGACCGTCCGGCTGACTAGTGTTCCCAGTGTGTCAACTGCTAAGGACATTAAACTGCGATTTTTTCAACTCTGTCCCTGGCAGGTATCAGCTGTTGACAGTTTCATCCAATCGGAAGATTGAACGTCACAATAGTGACGTTGCTACGGTGACGATCAAACTCCCGATTGGATGAAACAGTCAACAGCTGATACCCTGGGACACAGTTGGAAAAATTGCAGTATAGTCCCGTAAGGATACGTGCACACGAGCGTTGCGTTGACGCGCGTGGTATCAATCTAGTGCGAAACGGCTCACGAGCGCTTTACCCGTTCCGCATAAGATACAGTGTTAATCTACAAGGCGTGTGACACAGGCCAAAGTGTAGTGCACGGTTTATCGCAGTGTGTTTTAACTCTGATCACCCCCCCCCCGCACGAAGGCGAGATCCTGCGCCAACCTATACGTCAACTTGCGGGGTTATCTCAAATCGTGTATCACGGGACACTTCCCCAACCTCCATAAGCTAAGTTCCCGACATGTGCGGTAGTGTCATGCATATAAAGTAAAGCTTGTGTAAGGGGGGAGGATAGGAGAAGGAAGAGGAAGGAATGAGCCCGTGCGGTTAATTGCTCTTCTTCGGCATTCGCCCGTTGATCGGAGAAAACACGGAACACTACTGATCAATAAGTGAATGGAACTTATACTGCGATTTTTGCAACTGTGCCCCTGACAGGTAACAGCTGTTGACAGTTTTATCCAATCGGGAGTTTGAATGTCACCAAAGTGACGTCATTATGGTGACGTTCAAGCTCCCGATGGGACGAAACCGTCAACAGCTGATACCTGCCAGGGGGCAGAGTTACATAAATTGCAGTATATTTAGAGCCCTCCGATTGGCCAGTGATGACGGAGCGCGAAAAGCAAATGTCAGCTGCTGGTTTGTTCTTAAAAAAATAATATAAGTGGTATGGCGCTTGTTAAAACATACATATTTGTTGTGTTTACCAAGATTTGTTCATGTTGAAATTAAATTAATGTTTAATGTTCAACAGCAATGTGCCTGAGATAAGATGAATTTTCTGATTTAGCATGTTATTGACATACTTTTGTTTCCTCAAAGTTAATTTTGAATGAATCATTGTTATGAAGAAATACAACTTGAACATGTTCCTCAATATTCACTGACAACACTTAAAATAGTACTTCCTGAACTTACAATTAACATTAGGCCAATAAAAATAAGAAATTATAGATTTAACTGTGAATGTAAGTGCAGCATCTGTGGCAATAAAACATATCTAAACCAAGAATATGAAAATGCAATTAAATCAGGTTCACGGTTAAAAACAATGAATTGCAAGTTGAAATGATAACTGACCAATTGTAGATTAACAGACAAAGTAAATATAATTATGATTACGAACATTTACAAAAAGGCAATAAAATTTGGGTGACGGAATATGCTATTGTTACCAATAAATTAAGGTTACAATAATGTCACATAAATGTATAATAATAAATCATATGTATGAAGGGCGGTTGAATAAAATAAGCCACCTTAAAATTGCATAACATTCTTGCGCAAATCTTGAATAGAAACCCTCATCAGAGGACGATGCAACATTTCAATTCTGGGATTGGAACCTGCAGATTTCTTATTAATTCAATTTTAACTATGATTCAACAGAAAAATGATTATGTTCTTTAAGTTTTAATTCTAAATAATAAAGATATGTTAATTATAAAGATATGTTAAATTATAAAGATATGTTATCTTATTATCTTTAATAAAAATAATTTATTCAATATGAATTTGGAGGGAAAAAATGTGTTTTTAATTTAATTTTCATGTAATGTTTACTTAAGCCAAACTGCTTCAACTTCTCTTAGTTAATATTTGCAATAATTTTTTATTTTTCATTGGATTTATTTACATTTTAATTCAGTATAATTGGATTGGATATTTAATACACTAATTTATTTTGTAAATTCATGGTATTTAAACAAATAGTTATGCATATTGAGCCTCTTCAATGGCATTGGCCATGAGCATGTTTAGAAAAAAAAGAGGCTTGAGGCAGGATATCCATAGGGTCCCCTTATTTCAATATTTTCCCCCTGCCCAGCTCGACCATTACGTAAACAATTTTCATTTCTTCATGCAACAGAAATAACTTCCTGCAGTTAAAAAAATTATAATACATTATATTATTTATTTGTCTTAAATGAAAAAAAAGATGCAGGCCTTCAATTAAGTCAGGTCGTGGGGCTGCCACAAAGACCAGTGGTCATAAATCTGGTCTGAAGAACTTGTGGAAGATATATTTTAATTCTGATGCAGTTACAAGGTAGAGGTACAATTGAGGTACAGGTGTGCAAATAAGACATTTAAATTGCCTGACTCAAAATAAGGATAAACTAATACAGGAACTCAAGGGCTTTTCAATGTACTGGGTAAAATTTAATTCTATTACATACTTTATAACTTGCATTGAAGTCATTCATTTTGTCTGGAATTACAACTGCTGCTGCAATGCACACCACTTGAAAAACTGCCCCAAAATACAGGCCACAACGCAAAATTGAATCAACAAAATCTTCCGACATACTGGTATTGTTTCAAAGAATTCAACGGTGAGTATTCTTTTAGAGTGACTTATTACACAGTATAAGCACAGCTAAAATGGGTTTATTTTTATTAATGTCCACTTAGCAAACAAGAAAGTGTCAATTCGCAACCACTGTTCTAATACATCAACACGCGCACGGGTGAGGTCTAATTCGCATTCCTCAATGACAAGTCTTCTGTAGCCTGTAATTATTACAGTATAATACCAAGGGATAAAAACCCTGTGTGATATGCTCCGCACTAATGCTCACTATTGTGCTCGGCTCAGCTGTCACATTCCCTCACAACACACGGTCACAATATGCACAATTTACTGTGACGCCACATACGGCCGCAGAGAATATTAAAGTTTGTATACTCTGTGGTTAAGAGCAGCATTAAATGTTACAACGAGAAGTCATTTTCCAACTTCTAGTAGCGCCATCTTTTTCTGCATTAGACCTTAGTTCTTGTGTCAGCCAAGCGCGCGAAAGTAACAAGGAAATTTGAAAGAGACCTTATTAAGGAATTTCAGTCATCAATCTTTTTATATTATTTTTTATTACAAATCACAGAAGTATTTATTGGAATGGATTTCATTGAAGAAAACACTTAAATTATGTTATAAACAGTTTTTATTAATTTTAATAGTTTATGTCATTATGTGTATTAATAATAATAGTAATAATAGTAATAATAGTAATAATAGTAATAATAGTAATAATAGTAATAATAGTAATAAAAGTAATAATAGTAATAATAGTAATAAAAGTAATAAAAGTAATAAAAGTAATAATAGTAATAATAGTAATAACTAATAATCGTTTTCACATAATGTGCAGTTAGCGTTCACAAACTTTTCTTAGTGATAATGTTTCGCATATTTTTACATGATATCGATCACAAAAACTTTCACATAGGTTACACACGCATGTTTCTTGTAGCTGGTGGTAGGTTTCCTTTTTTGTAGCTCCGGTGGTGGAAGCCATGTGCAGCGAAACGAGTCATAATATATTATATTGGGTTTTCATTCATTCTGTTTTTTCATTGGATCTGTGCTGTATAATTCCAACCATATCTCATCTTTTTACGTTTGTAATTCCTGTACTATATTCTTGTACGCCTCCGTACAGGGCAGTAACAGTTGATATCTTAAATCTTGAATGTAATATTGCTCCCTGGATAGTTCATACACTAATCGTGAGGGTGTATTATTTGACAGTCCTAGCGGTCATTTTAGGAATCGTGCCTTTACTTTTTCAGTTAAAGTTTAGTATACGGTACACACTTAGAGAGACTTGGCGGCGGTGCTTAAGTCTTAATTCCTGTACGTGCTCTAATAGATGTGAATCAAACTTACATATAGGCGATTTTCATGGTTCGCCCTTCATAGGCTTTGTCCCCGTCGCACTGTAACGCCAATTGTGACGTAGTGAAATGAGAAATAAATTCAAATAACAAAATAAAAATAGTATATTAAAAGATAATAAACAAGTTACAATAAATTGCTAATATTAAACACTCCAGCAACCTTTTCCTTCCAGTACCCTGCTTTACCGCAGAAAAATAAAAGCCACGCGTGATGCGAGCTGTCGGACTTCCGTCCCGTGACAATTACCGTCAAATGACCTGACGTCAAAATTTAAACCGGTCGTGGCGACCGTGTGCCTACAGCACGCGAGATCGTCTGGCCCTTACTCTCCGGACATCTCGCCCACACTCCTACACTCCTTGTACTTACACGTACAACGCTCCCCGATGTAAACTGAATGAGAACGCGGGCGCAGATGGCGCCACGTTAAATAGTTGAGAACTGACCCCCCACCACTGTTCCATAGATAGGCTCGCTTGCTGTCGGCAAGCGAGGGCTCGCTGGCTAGCATCTTGGGAGGGGGTTACGCCCCCACACAACAGATTCCCAGGTTGGCTCACCTGCTGTCGGCAAGCGAGGGCTCGCTGGCTAACATCCTAGGAGTTTACAACCTAAGGTTATTTTTGGCTCTGCAGCTCTATCTGAGTCAACCGCCAGAGCGCAAAATCCCGGAAGTTCAGGCTCAACCCCTTCCTCCCCCGCAGCGCACTTTCACCGACCTAACGGTTCTGGCCCTCGTGTTAACGACGCCACACAATTTACTTTCAAAGGCACGTTTTCTCGTTTCGCTCGCCCTGATCCAAGTCACGACGAGGCTCTGGCCTTCGACCCTCGCGTTCACTATAAACATCCTTGAGTCTATCCAACGCATAATTACCAATTCACTTTTATAAGACATCACTTTTCAAGAAAGCCTCCAGAATTCTAACTGCCTAGTTAACGCCGGAACGGCGCGAAGTGCCGGTTTAAACGACTTCCTTAGGTTGTACCGTATACTATATTTCAGCCACTTTTTTTATGTCTGCTAGGTTTTTCTTTTTCAAGTTCTTCCATATTAAACGCAAACCATAAGTGATTATGGGAGTGATTTTAAGTTCGAAAAGTTTCATGGCGGTATGTAAAGATGTCTGGAAAATTCCTGATGCTGTTCACGACAGTAATGACAGATATGATTTTCTTTCCTGCGTGCGTGGAGTATACATTTTCTTGCAATTGCAGTGTCATTCCCAAGTACTGGAAATGCGGTACATGTGTATCTTATTTTCAGAGGAAGCTATCAATAGAGGCTGGGCTTCCTCCCTTCCTAAATGTTATGGATACAGTTTTTCAGTATTTAATTTCAATTCATTACTGCTAGCCCATTTTACCAGATTGTTAAAGGCACCTTGTAAGTTTTCAATGTTCCAGGATATGCGATCCATGTCAACGGCATATGCATACATTTGAACATTTTCTGTTGTGACGCTGTCAGATGTCACTTCAAGTTCTTATGGATGTTTCTCATGGTAAGTTTTTCCTTTGAATATACTGTTATTAGTATCGATTATGAGTAAATTATAGAACATAAAAAACAAATGTTTTTGTGGTTGGTGATTACAGATCCCCACTGAACAGGTGACCTAAGCCATTCTGGAAGATGAATCTGTGGCTTGGGTGTTTAGAAAGTGCAAGATATTCCTTGGTTCACAAATTCCATAATTCTAGATGCTACATTAGAAGAAACAATTTTCTTTTTGATGTAGATTAGTTTTCAGAATATTCGTTTTACGACATTGTATCTCTCTTCACAGCATTTTTTGCTTTTCAGATCCTCTTCCAGAGATGCAATGCATTCACAATTGACCCTAAATGACAGTAAGTGTTCGGTTCCTGATGCAAGCAAATATTTGAACTTAAATAATCCATTTTCAGAATTAAATTGTGGCGCATAAGCATTGTTGGGCCTGTTACATTCCACTCTTTGTAAATAATTGTTTTAAAAATGTAGTTTCACAGAGGATCACAGCTTTGAACAGCTTTGTTATTGATTAACAAAAACATTTTTGGCTGCGTCTAGTAAAAGCAGATTTTTCAAGGCATGCATAGCATGCTAAAAGTTCAAGTTTTTGTACTAGTGCCTAAAGTGGGACAATGCTCAAATGTTCAGATAATACTTTGAAAGCTACAAAGGAAACAAAATACTTTCGTGTGACCTAATCAGGTACTATGACCTTAATGTAACATAGTTCATAATTAACACATTTCCTGTCCCTGTGAAAACATCAAAATATATCTGCAGGTCCGAACGACTTATAATAATAATTTTTTTGATATTTTCTCAAAAATTGAAATATTTTTCTACACGTCCAGGTGTATGTCAAAATTCTATGACTATCCTAGCAAGTCCAATTCAAAATCTGTGCAGCTACGGCAAGTTCCATGAAAATATTTGCCTTAAGTTGTAAACGTTTTTGACTCAGATGTGGTTCACGGACATTAAAAATCATTGGGTGTTACGTTTTTTGAATCATGTATGACTCGTAGGGCAGTGAACGTGTTAAGTGATTTGTATTCTTGGATTCAAATAAAATGAAATGCAGTAATACTGTTTAAAAACACATGGAGAAAGCGATTTTATTTTGCTCGTATGATTGGGACACCTGATATATTGGCCTTGTGATGCTACCTTTTCAAATCGCAAAATAAAATGACACTTATATCATAACTATTTGTTTTACCTGGGCGAATGTGCGGTAATGTTTTTATTTGTTTCTTTTCAACACTTTTGGTATTGTTATTGTATAATGCTCTCTAACAATGTAATATTCCATAGTATTCACATTAATTTGGCATGTCTACAAGTCATTAAATTTGCATCTGAGCTGGTGTACTGTGTTTATTGCCTTGTGTAATACAAAATTGATAATTCTATTGAAATTGTGTAATATCAATATGCTCAATAAATACTAGATTTTACTGCCATAATTTGACTTTTTCTTCCATAAAATCCTTATAATTATTATTGTGATTTTTTTAATAAATTAAGGCATGAGAATTAATGGACTAAAATTTTAAAGTTCCCGCGTTGTTGGTTTATTTCAAATTTACCGGTTACTTGTGCGCTATTGGTTGTCCGTTTGCCCAATAGAAATTATACAGAATAATGTGGCGGCGCCGGAAATTGGGCACATAAGGCGTTCTCTTTAATATTGACATCTCTGATATGTACTTTTTGACCCAGTGCTCTGAATGTCAAAGTGAAGTTATTCAAGGAAGCGCGGGTAAACGGCAGGAGAAACTATGACTCGCCGGCAGCCGATCTGAGCGGACGTGCCTGTCTGTACTCCGCTGCTTGCGCCCTGCCTCCTTGACCGGCGTTGCCGGTATCTCTTTCGCCTCGCCGGCACGACATTCTTGAACCAAACGTGCAATGAAAAGGGAAGTGGTGTCCCGTACAGCGTGACTCCCACCGCCTTTCGGCCGGTGTCGTTCGGGCGGGATGCCCAGTCACTGGTGGTCCTGCCCGGAGCTCCGCGTTGAAAACCCCTCGCGTGATCACATCCGAAAACACATCAGGTCGGGAGTTTGACTGTGGCGGTACATCTGTCAAAAGCTAACGCAGGTGTCCTAAGGCTAGCTCAGCGAGGACAGAAAAACCTCTAGAGTAAAAGAGCAAAAGCTGGCTTGACCCGGGCGTTCAGTACGCGCACGGGCAGAATTCGCAGACGTTTGATTGTTCACCAACTAACAGGGAATGTGAGCTGGGTTTAGACCGCCGTGAGACAGGTTAATTTTACCCTACTGGTGACGAGTAGTTGCGACAGAATTCCTGCTCAGTACGAGAGGAACCGCAGGTCGGACATTTGGTTACGCAGTCGGCAGAGCGGCTGGTGCTGCGAAACTGCCGTCTGTTGGAGTATGCCTGAACGCCTGTAAGGCAAAATCTGTTCTAGACCGTTAAGCGACAATATTTCTCAGGACTCCTCGAGTCGAACAAGGATCAATTACGCATTGTAGCTTGCCAACCCGGCCTCTGTCTCTTTCCACTCACTATATATTGAAATCTTTTCACCAAAGATGTTTCCACCAATATCCGATGATCCGCTCCGTCGGAAGAATCGAAAAGACCGGTCGCTTGTGGCTGTATCGATTATGCATGCAAAGTCGAATGAGATGCTCGAGGATGTTAGATCAATATGGCGGATCGTAACGAGAAAGCGCTTCTTGAACTCTCTAAAAAGCCTGGAAATAATGTTTGCGCCGATTGTGGTGCTAAAAGTGAGTGTTATCTTTTATTGGCCACGGAAAATAATCGTTGTGTCGTTCTGAAAGTTACTTTACTTGTCACCTACTACTTGCAATGTGTATGAGGTGTTCTGATTCCCACTGTTTTGATACTGTGTATATAAATAATTTAAGCTTAGATACTGCAGTGTGCCGTGTGTGTCGTCAGTACATTAATTTATTGTATTTAGTTTTGATTATTTGAGTTGTCACTCTTTACTTTGTTCACATTACGACAGTGGCCTTATTTAGATAATCAGTAGGTTGTTATAACTGCTTTCACTTCCATCTCAATATAATCAAAAGAATTGTGATTAATGTTTGCTTTTTATAATATAGATCCCGAATGGGCGTCCTATAACATTGGGATTTTTGTCTGCACCCGTTGTGCTGGAATACATAGGGGTTTAGGAGCTCATATCTCAAAAATAAAGCATTTAAAGCTGGATCGATGGGAAGACAGCCAAGTGGAACGCATGAAAGAAGTAGGTAATAATGCAGCTCGCATGAAGTATGAAGAACGTGTACCTCCATGTTACCGGCGTCCTGTAGCTGATGATCCACAGTAAGGCATTTTTCTTTATGACAGGAATGCAATATACTCCATTTATTCTTCTTTCATTTTAATTTTCTCCAATAATTCTTTACATTTATTGTTCAGAATTCTCATTGAGCAGTGGATAAGGGCCAAGTATCAACGTGAAGAATTCTGTCATCCTGAACGTCAAGGTTACGTTCAAGGATATATGGAAGGCTTCTTAATGAAGCGTGGAAAGGAAGACAGTAGATACCACCCTCGAAAATTTATTTTGTCAGAATCTGAAGATACTTTGAAGTATCATGTAAAAGAGGTAATTAAATATTTTGTATTAATTACTACTACTACTACTAATAATAATAATAGAATTCCAAAACAAAATATATATAATAATATATTATTATTGTAACTTGTTTATTTCTATTTATTTTTGGTATTATTATTATTATTATTATTATTATTATTATTATTATTATTATTATTATTATTATAGTCCCAGTAATTATGATGATAATGATAGGGTGATCTTTTGTTGAGGAAGGCCACTTTATTTTTGTTTGGTTACTTGCCTTATGAGTTCTGCTGAAAGAGTAACGAAAGTGAGAAAATATCTGCATATATTTTTGTGGAAAAATGCGATTGTGATTTTAAGATTGTCTTACTGAACATCATATTACATAAATTACAGAAGCTTATTACATAATTCACTAGTGAAAGTGGTCAACCTAAACAAAAGAATAACATTATTTTTATACTTCTATTTATTTACAACCTGTTGACGTTTGATCAGCTGTTCAGGTGTCATCCAGTTGAGAGCTTAAACGTCACTACTGTAGGTGTCATTCAAGCTCCCGAATGGATGGCACCATAACAGCTGATTTATGTCAATGGTCTCAATGTTTAAATCAAAGAACAATATTAGTGATATTATTAAGGATACTATTAGTATTGGTATTTGTATTATTTCTAAGAAGAATGTTTGGTTATTTCAGAAGAAAGATCCTAAAGCTGTGATACGTTTGTCTGAACTTAATGTTGCATTTTCACCAGAAAAAATTGGTCACACAAATTCTCTTCAATTGTCTTATTTGAAAGATGGGACGACACGACATATTTATGTTTATCATGATGACCCAGCATCAATTGTGAACTGGTATATGGCTATTCGTTGTGCTAAATTGCACAGGTTACAAGTAGCGTATCCAGGGGCTAATGAATCTGAGGTATGTACTATGTAAATGTGTTTCTTATTTTAGTGTTTAAACTACGTTGATCTTAATTTGTTTGTGTTGACAGTTGGTAGGCCACCTTACAAGAGATTTTGCAAGAGAAGGTTGGTTATGGAAAACTGGTCCTAGAAGTTCAGATGCATACAAAAAACGGTGGTTCACTTTGGATAATAGAAAGCTTATGTATCATGATGATCCTTTGGTAATTAAATTTTCAATTGCTAAATAAAACAATATTATTTTATTTTTCTTAATAAAATGATAGAGAGACGTTTAACAAAATTTATTATGGGTTGGACTAATTCTTAGAGAATTGTATACACAATACCCTTCTGAAGAGAGTGAAGTAATTTTTGTATTTGTATTTGACTGTTCATTGAAAAATTTTCTCTTAAGAGTTGTACATTTTCATTTCTTGCAGGATGCTCATCCAAAAGGTGAAATTTTCTTGGGTCACATGTTAGATGGCTACAGTGTACGTGTTGGAGTCCCTCCTGGGGCTAAGGATATGGGTTTTTCCTTTACTTTACGAACTCCAGAGCGATCGTATCACTTATCTGCTCACACTGATGATGATAGAGATGAGTGGATGCAAGCCATTGACAGTGTTTTGGAAAGACCTTTGACACCTCAGGATAGTTCAAGTAAGTAGAGTTTACATGTGATATTGAAGCTAAAACATTTTATTTATATATGTATTTAGTCAAACATTGTTGTTGCTTTACCTCAACAATTTAAAATGCAGCCTTATTTGCTGACCATTTATAGTGTTAGCCTTGAAATTGTGAACAAAAAAGTGCAGTAAAATGGAAAGTCATAATGTAAAAGAAAAAAACAACACTTTATTGTTCTCAGACAATTAAGTTTTCTTTGCAGAAGGTGTAAATAATACCTCTTATGATAAGGGTTATAACAAGAAGAGTTCTAACAGAAGTCCAGTGAATCAAACTTAGGTGCTGCTAAAATATGAGGCACATTCCAAAACTAATGTCCATTTGGTCATAAAAACAATATATGGTCATGAGAATAGGTTTTTATTGACAGTAGTATTTTAGTACATTACGCATCTACTTTACTCTTCCCGTAATCACCATTCACATCAATACACTTTCAGTAACGCTGCACTTGCTTCTTTAACCTCTCTGCATAGATGTCTGCCAATTGAACCATTCGGTAATGCCAGTCTTGAGTTGGTCTTAGTTTTAGAATGTGTGCATTATGTGTGTATTAATGTTTTTGGAAAAGAAAAAGAAAATTTCAAAACTTTCTCAGAATATCCCCTTCTAGGTAATTGCACACCTTGCCTTTGCCCACAAATGCCTCATTATTATTATTATTATTATTATTATTAGTGAGTTTCTTCATCTCTTTAGTCTGGCTTATCTCCCCCCCAACACACAGGCACTATAATGCCTATCAGGTTTAATAGACATTTTTTCTCATTTTTCCAATTTTTTGTTTCCCTAATAGTGTAATTGAAATATTACCTTAGGAATATTATATTATATAAAACAGTAAAAATTGGTCCTTTATGTTAATTTGAACTGCAAAGTTTGGAACTGTTTTGAGAATGTCATTTGAGCATTTTTGAAAATGTGCAATTGTGAGCTTATTTTCAGTGTGTTCAAGAAACTGTGTTCCTATAATCTGTATTTGCTAGAGGCCTGTAGTGGTGCGCTGGTATTGGTTCCTAATAGATGTGCTAGTGACCAGTAGCAGTGCTTAAGATAAACTTTCTAATCTATTAGCAATGAGCTGCAAAATAAAATGAAGGAAAATTATAGAATTTTATTAAAATTTCCACCAAAGATACTAAAAATAAAAATCTTAAACACCATGGTTTATATAAAATTAATATTTTTCTCCTTTCAAATGATTATGAAAACATTCTGGACAACGTTGAGTATTTTGTTTCAATGCAATAATTTCCAAAAAAAATGTGTAATGTAAATATTAATGATAAGAGATCTGTCAAAAAAAATATTAAAATGCCAATTAAGTTCTGTTTGTAAAAAAGTTTGAAGTAAAAAAATTTGGAGCAGTTTTTGAAAAAAAGTTTTTAATATTGCCTGTATTTCACCAAAAATTACGTGAAGAGTAATATTTTTAATTTCATAAACAATTAGTAGCATTTTCGAAATAATGTTCATGACAAAACCATTTGTGGAGAACAAATTTCATTTGAAGGAAAAGTGTCTTGTCTTTAAATGTTTAGTATTAGAAGTGTTCCAAAAAATTTGAAACTTTTGCAATATTTGAAAAAGTTTAAAGACAAAATTTTGAGCCATTTTTGAGAAAATTTTGCGAATGTTTCAGGGGCTTTATATAAAGGACTCAACGTTGTCCAGAATTTTTTCATAATCATTTGAAAGGAAAAAAATATTAATTTTATATAAACCATGGTGTTTAAGATTTTTATTTTTAGTATCTTTGGTGGAAATTTTAATAAAATTCTATAATTTTCCTTCATAAATTTCAATGAATTTGATTCAAATTTGCCTGGCCTAGGGCCGGTTCGGAAAGATCGGGAAATATTTTGGCAGCATTCCTGTGAATAGTTTTGGGACTAATATTGTTCATGCATGAGAGACAGACACATGTTTTGTTAAAAAACAAAAACAACACTGTCAGTATCAGGGTTCCAAATGTGTATTTCCATTAAAATCTCAAAATCAGATTTCCACAGTAAGGCATAACCTCTCAACTATGAATGTTATACCATAAATATGTTTGTTTATATAAAAGAAAAGCCAATATAAATACAAAATAAACTTACAATAAAATGCATTCTGGCGTGTGACACAACAGATATTTAAAAAACATTGCATTTGTGAAAATTCAAATGTTTGCATGGCATTGATTCCATATCATTCAGTTCATTTTGCTGTTCAGAAAGTTTAAAGAAAAATCACTGTTGGGAGTATTGTTTTAAAATAGGCCAAGTTTTCTTGTAAAATAATTCCCAAACTATCATTTTAATTTTTTATTTTGAAAAATCTACTTAACATCAGTTAAAAATCTCTCTTCATCTTCTCTTCTCAGAAGTGCTGTGAGAGAGAGGGATCAAAAGAATTTGAAAATTTAGAAAATTAAGAGGTTACAAAGAAAATTTGGACCTGTGCCAACTTTGAGTGTATTTCACTCTAATCTAGCTAGAAAAATTAAACAAACAATTGGAGCCATTTTTGAAAAAAATTTGTTTGCATCCTAGGGGCAGTGTGCAATGTGCAGAACCCCCAAAACTAAAAATATTTATTTCTAATTCTCAGAACCTTGAGTTAGGCTAGTTTTATCGGGAAATATCCATTTTGGAAAATGTCTTATGGATGATTTAGGGGGATAGTTTTTTTCATTCACAGATAACTCTTTTGAAAGAAAACAACGCTTTTTCAATATCAGGAACCTGGAAACATGTATTTCCATTGAACCTACATCGATTTTTTAAGGCTTTTCTTAATATCTTCTATACTATGTATATTACTTCTTATTTACATACTATCTACATGTATGAAAAAGTAAAAACAAAATTACCCAATGAGTCATTGTCTTTTTACCCTTTTTCCTGTTTAAGCGTACTAATTGGTGTAAGTCAGTATTCAAAAAATTTCTTGTAAGATAACTGCACTATTTGGTTTCAAATTTTTTTTAGGTATTCTTTTATGAGCGGGATAGGTGAAATTAAGTTATTCATAATTTCATTAACTGCAATATATATTTTAGTTCAAAATTGAATTATATTGAGGATTAACCTACTTTTAATTTTCCAGTTGCTGCACGACTAGTTCGTAAACGTGCAACTAGCAGTACCATAAACATCTTCTCAGCCAGGTAGTGTAACTTTTCCTTTTGTGTAAGAAGTATTGGCAATATATCAGCCTTTAGGGTAATTTTCCAAGCTTTTGTAAGAATAGTACAAGTATGTTCGTACCTTTATTTATGTTATGCCAAGCAAGTCCATATGCTCACTTTCAATTTTAAAATATTTTTTGCATTATTTATACTACAGTGTTAAAGGAATGTATTTTAAAATAAACATTAGTTCACCAGTATACAATAATTAGATTGCAATTATTCAATAGACACAACTATTTAAAATACTATTAACAGATTGTTTTGAAATGCAGCTGCACTTCATGAAGCTATATTTGAAATGAGGCGTAAGCAGGTTGTTCAAGTGTTGTTGTGAGCACCTCATTCAAGAGCAAACAAAAATTATTAGTGTTTTTCTCTTTAAATCCTTGGCATCTTAGGACATTTTTAGATAAACGTTTATCTAGTTCATTGTAATTAAGATTTCCTTAAAGGCTGCTTTTCGTTTTCAGGACCATCATGTTTCACAATTTTGCCAGTGATGGTCTATGTAAATAATTTGTAATAATTATTATCAGTTTATTGCGGTTGTCAAAAATAATAATTTGAGTATATGAATTTCTGGCTTGTTAAAGCAATTGCCAAACATTTAAAAAATACTGCATTTGTTTATTCTGTTACAAAAATAATGTTTTTCTGCTTTCTGTAAATACGTGTATTTTTTTTTTCATTCCAACACGTGCAGAATAAATATAAAATGGCTTTTATTAGTGTCAATATGTAAAAAAGTATTATATGCTACAGTGTGAATAAACTGAAGGATATGTGATACTAGATAAGTATGTAAGCTTTGACATTCATGCATTTATTTTTAGTTCTATTATTAAGTACATTATATACAGCGAATGTTTGTGTTCTGCCTCATGTGAGTAAGTGTATTCATAATATTTTTGTATGTCTATATTTTTTCCAATTGTTTTAAAATGGAAAAGATAAATATCTTCTTGATTTTTATTAAATCTTGAAGGTTTCAAGAAGCTCATATTAGTGTGAAGTTTATTGTTGCAATAAATATACTTGTGAATTTTAATGAGCACAATGTTGTAGTAGAGGTAGTTAACAGTGAATGCATTTGAAAAATCTATATTTAAAAGTTCACAATTACAATTTTTTAAAATTTATTTCTTTAATTTAAATTTTTTTTAATGATTATAAATATTGTGGACATATTTAAGACGGTAAAAAATGTAAGTCAAAGTATTTTTTAAAAAATTTTAGTTGTATTGTTCTCTTCTCAGTACCCTTGGTTAAATAACATTGTTTGCAAGCACAGCAATAATGATAGAATTCTAATTTATATTTTTTTATGGAAGTTGCTGCCTTCTGCAATCATGTAAGAGATTTCATTTAAGTTCTTTCTTTAATTATTTAAGATACAGTTCATTTTTGGGCAGTTCCACAAAATATCTTTTTTATAACTACGGAATATTCTCTCAACAATAAAAGGCTAGGTTGATATTAGTTATAATTTTTGGTGCATTTGTTTACTTGAAAATTTATTGATCTAGATTTTTTGATCTGTTATATATGTTAAAACTGTACTTGTTTTTAAAATTTCCACCCAAACTGTTAATTAAAACTCAGGATTTAATTGATAATGTAGTGATGAAAACACTACAGCTTTGCATATATGTATTTATACATAAGAAAACGGCAATTTAACTCCTTGAAATTGTAAGTACTGTATTGGTCGAGGTCTTTAAAGTTATTTGGTATCGTCATTTTTTGCTCTAGCTTCTCCCATTTCATATGCCTCTGGAACTTTTCAGAATATTTCTTGTAGATCCTATGAATTGTTTAATTTCATCTATCCCTGTCTTGTTTTAATGTTTCATTCCAACGTTATATCTTCATTCTTTTAAGACTCCTCCATTCTGGGAAAACTATCTACGTAACACTTTCTTCCTACGTGCTTCTCATCCTCTACGTGTGTATATTAATCTAACCATAATTCCTTTTTGGTAAAGTCTCTGTAGAAATATAGATTTCATAATACACTTCCAAACCTGCTGAAACAGCCACCTTCATTAACAGCCATTTTTCGTGGGATTATTTGATCTTTTCCTGTACAAATTCCATTATTTCAGCAGCCATTGGGCCCCCTACATTTTTATACATTAACCTTTATGTGGTCACCTCTAGGGATTCTGAACTGTAATGGAATAAGTGGAAGGGGAGTATGTATAGCAAGGAGACAAAACTTTTCTGAGGAAGGATACATCTTAAGATTACTTTGAACAGTGAGATTTAGTCACTCTTCCTGCAAGAGTTTCATTTTTAAGGTAAAAAGGTGAAATTGTTTCATTTACATTGGAGCTTTCTCATGAAGTTTGCCAGTCCCTTCTTTCCCTCAATGATACTTTGATGATGCTGACGAAGCACAAAACCAATATATTGAAGATTGATCTGATGATCATTTGCAACTATTTTGTTCTGGTATGAAGACCTTCCCAAAGAATTACATTTTGCTGTCTAGTTTGCTTGTGAGTTCGATTTAGTGTGGAGAGAAAGTGTTTCCTGTAGTCAAGTGTGTTTGACACTTACCAAGAAAAGGCAAGTGATCTTAGAAAACAAGAACCCTTCAACTAGAACATGTGATGACAATTTTAAATGTAGTTGGACATAATTATAAAAAATCAAAGATTATTATGAAGTTTTGAAACATAAGCAGCTAAAACAGCATAAACTCACGTGATCAAAAAAGCATTTGTGACCACTTAATGCATGCAGGTTTCACTGTAGTACTGCGTAAATGTTGTATAGAACTGTTCCAGGAACATTAAATTTATACTAAATTTGAAAAGTTGGCAGTACATCCTGGAGGCCTTTGACACTCCAATGAGTTGATGCACTGGGATTGAATGGAGGCCTCTGCAAATAATGTTAAATAAGATCTCTGAAGCCTTCATACACAATTTATATTTTCAAAAAAATTGTCATTGGGGGAATAATTTCCAGTACTAACCGGTAGTGACATTTCCTACCAGCTAATTAGAATTAGTCATTCAGATATTTTTGAATCACTGAATCTTGTTTCTGGACATGCAGTTGAAGGGGAGAATCATAAACTCCACTAACGCAGTTTTTGAAATACAGCACTTTTAGTATTAACAAGCCTGTTAAATTAACGTAGGACAAAAATATCATTCAGACATTTGGTTGCCATCCAACAAAGAAATAGGAACTCATAGTTCAGAACGGGAATAGGGTTGGTCAGAGAGCAATTGTGACATGCTCAATTTGATACTCAAAATTGTGACCCTCTCTCTCTGACCCCTTCAAATTATAATTGGTTGCTTTAAAATAATTTAATTCAGAAGACTTTCGTGCAAAATGATGTAACATATCAAATATTTCTTCTTTGTCGATTTAAGTAAATATTTATACTGATAGCTAGCCATTACATTCTGTAAGTCTTTCCAAAATTATATTGAGGTTTGTATTTTTTCTTCTCCACCTTCCTTTTTTATTCTTTTGTTTAACTCAAAAGATTTATATTGCTTAACAGTCCAAAGCATAATAGTTAAAAACAAATTCAGATTAATTTTGAATGCACTTTTATTCTTGTGTAATTGCCTTTGAAAGATTTACTCTTGCATTCTATAAATTCTTTCTTATTCTTTTTGCCTGTTTTACTTTGTTGTTTGATGTTCAATTGTTTATTTGTAGTTTACTTTCATGTTACATGTTAGCTACATCTAGTTTATTTTCAATATTGTGACATGGGTAATTTGAGCTAATTGATATTGCCACTGAACATCGTTGCTATGTAAAGTTTTTTAATGTGTAGTAAATAATCAGTTGTAGGAAAATCCTTAAACTAAGATTTAAAGGAGGTTTCCCATACTTAATCACAATCATGTGGTAATGTGGACATTTTATTATTAGACTAAAAATATCTGTTTTGGTCAACATCCTAAACTTAGGATTTAGATTTGACTCTTCCGTAATCAAGTAAGTCTTCTTTTGGTGGTCTTGGTTTTGACAGTATTTTCCTTCCTTCAGCAGTGAAAGTATCAAGTTTCTTGGTACAGGTTTGAAATTTTGTAGCCACCAGATGCTACATTGTGATATAATTGGTCTGTCTGTTGTATGGTCACGTTTTTGTTTCCGCAATGTTATCCATTGTCAAATTCTAATACAGTAATGTCATTGTAATGTCAATCCAGAAATCTTTTTGTCTTTTGAATTCTCCTTTGCACTGGTAACTGAAATAGAGAAAAGCCATTTTGTAATTATAGTATTATTCTTTACAGAAATATTTTGTTAATATGAAAATTATTTCTGTTAAATCAATGAAGGTGTGTGTATGTTTTAAATAGATAATTTATGTTTATTTTTCTTGAATACAATGTAAATGATTTCCCCTTTTTGGAGCTTTCTGTCTGTATCTCTTTCTCAAGTAAATGTTTGATAGGTGGAAGTGGCATGTCTTCTTAAAAATCATTTAGCCAACAATAATACTTAATCTTTATTTTTCTCAAATAATATTCTCCCTTTTCTCATACAACCTCTGCATTAACTATCTGATATGGTTTGAAGAAGAAAATTCTGTTAATTCCTCTGTAAATAAATATCATAAAATAAATTATGCAAAAATTGTTGAGAAAAGTTCCTCTCTGTATGAATTGTACTCCAAGCTTCTAATCGCAATGATAGCAGTCTCAGTAATGACAAAATAGCTTGATATTTGCTCAGTTAATGATATTAAGAGGATGGATACCTGAAATATGTGGTAATATTTTTGAACTGTCAAACTGTGTATCAATCTGAAAACAAAATTGTTTTTCCACCTAGCTTGCTGCATAATTTGTGATACATAGGTGTGTATTTGTGGTTTTATTTATAGATCAAAACCTCATAAAGGCAAGGGACAGCTTTCTGACAGGTTATGAATGCAATGTAAAAATTATTTTCTTATAGCTGTGATAACCTACTTTATAGGGTTTCGAATGTTTTCCTGCCTATTTTGACATTTAGAAAAATGAGGTGAAACAGTTGACCTTCACTGTGGCCTTTTAAGTAATATCCATTGTAGCAAGCCAAAGGTTATCTATTCTTTCTTCTTTTTTAATCAGATATCTTGATATACAGTTTTTGTATAAAAAGTCTAAATTTATAGTCAATTAGTGAAACATTTATAATTTAAGAGCATTGATAACTAGACTGAATTAATGCTAGGAAATCAAATCTCAGATGTAATTACAACTATACAATACATAGTACTTCATAGTACTATGAACAAATAGTTAGTGCCAGTTTTCAGAAATGCCACTTAAAGATGTCTCAATTTGGGCACCCATCCTCTATACATATTTTTTTCTTAGATTTACTGAAAGAAAACTTTTTGTAACATTGTGAATACTGTACGATTATTACTGACCAACCATGTACGTGAGGAATTTCAGTTGAATATTATTGCAAAGACTCAGTAAATTTGCATGTGCTAGCTAGACTGCCTTATTTTATTTTGATATTGTATTAGGACTTTGCCTGTTGCTTGCCATGTGCGAGAAACCTAGTCATTAATGATACGTTTTTAAAATTATGTATTTGTCAGTTATGATCCGAGCATATCGTTAAAAAGATTCTATATGAAATCTTGTGTTCTGACTAGTCATTTATGCTACACCAATCAAGATTGTGTATTGTTACAGATAGTTATACAAATATTTGATTACATTTGTTGTTTTCAAAATACTGTAATGTTTACATGTTTTGCTGACTCCAGTGGTTTTTTTGTCAACTGCTTTCTAATGGATGGCATATATTGAGATGCTTCTAATTATATATTAGCATGAATGGTTTCATTTCTTTAATCTGTGAGAGGTTGGATCTGTTTCAAATAAGGATAAGAGGCATAGATGAAGTGTAATGGAATTGAAAGTATTTTATAACTGAGATCGAAACTGTTAAGACATTGAATTCCAAACACAATTTCAACAATTGTATTTTACAAAGTTTAATTTTATTTTGGAAGTAACTATTACATTTCAAAATTATACACATTAAGTAAATGAAACTATTCTGTCCCTGTCATTTACATGTGAAAAATTAAATAAACATTAAAGTCTTGTAAACAAGTATATAAGGTTCGTTTCATTAAGCCAGTTTTCAAATATTTTGGTTTTGTATTATTACTTGCAATAAACACACGAATCTCTATGAAGCGTACATATATAAGCATATGCTATAAACAATATGTATTTAGACTTTAAGTTGAATTAAATTTATTGTACACGAAGGAAAGTATAGTATGTGCTTAATTTTTCACTGAAAATATTACTTTAATGGATTATTGTATACATTTCACTTATTTTTAAGATTATAAGATGTTTGGAGTCATGTCTCTTGGTTGTTTTTCAAAAATTATTTCTACTGCAGGAATTCTCGAGCTGAAAGTTGCCCCCAGAGATCTTCAGTAATGTGAGTCTGCATCTTGTATTTAATATCTGGATATGATTCTCTTGAGGAGCATTCTGTTGGAGCTGTGCTTGAGCAGTTTATCTTCACCTGTTATATACTTCTGTAAAAATGTTTGTGTTATGGTAGTTATATATTTTTGGAAGAAAAAAAATTGTGCCATATTTGTGTTTAGCATGTAAGGTAGCTTTATGTAGTGTCATAAAAAATATCATTTGTAAGGTTTTTTATTATTTTTATTGTGAAAGAAGAATGAAGGACCATTTTCAATTTATAAAGCACATGACTTTGTATCTTAATACAAATTGTTGGTATTGTTTATCTTTCATGCAATTCTTACCAGTGTCTTTTTCTTGGAGTAATTATCTTTTCAAAGTATTTATATTTGGTCACTTATATATTTGATAATTTTATTTTTTTGTGAGCTATAACATTTAGCATTCTCTGTGTGAACTCTTTTGAGTATTTTATTTGAGGGATCTGATACATTTTATAGGGTACCCAGATAGTTGGTGACTATGGTATTTCAATAGTTTTCTACTGTATGTTATAATGTGTAAAGTTTTTTTTTTTTTCTTTTTTGTCACTTCCACAAACCTCATTTACAACTGCTGTCAAGTAAGGCATAGTACTTACATTGGTTTGCAAACATTGTATTTGTTCATGTACTTGAACTTAATGTAAAGGGTTAATTTATATTTCGTACAGATATTCTGCAAGTATGTTTGTGAGGAGTATTTCAAATATTGAACTGAAAGTGCATATCAAAATACATGATTAAGGAAAATAAAGATTCTAAATTGAACCAATTTAGTTGAGATCTGAAGTATGGGTTGTTAGTTGATATTGTAGCTTAATATCAGAATTGCACCTCATACAAAACCAGTACATGAATGAATTATTTTGTTTCATTATGGCTTGTAAATGCCTCTGCAAACAATTTTGCAGCAAATTTGGATCAACTGTGAGATTACCTCAATATTTTATTATAGTAAAGTACAACTTTTAGTGCAGTCATGAAAAAGGAAGAGCAGTGAACTGTTCAGAGTATTTAATGATTCAATGTAAAATTTTTTTGTCAGTGATTATTCATACTTTTATTATTTTTATAAAATATACATATATATATGCTGCATTACTTCCATGCTTAATATTTTACATTTATGAATAAAATGTCTCATATAAACATTTACATTTTTCATACATCCTCATGTATATGGTGCTATTAGGGACAGATTTGTTTTATCATTCAACCACGTGTGCCATTCATCAGTAACATGTTTTTCAAGAGTTACTTCTTTAAAAACGTTAGATTCTGAAACCTGTGGAGATAAAAACTCATGTATACTTTCTAAATTTATTTTTATTACATAAAAAAATTGTTAAGCACTTACTTGGATGAAACCCATATTTTGGAACATAGTAATACTTCTAGAATTGTTAGTGCCAATTTTTGCAATGTACTTTTTAATACATAACTTATCACAACCTGAAAAATAGTTAAGATCAAAATTTTAAAGTAGCATATTAAAATCCAAAAGCTGAAAAATTGTAAAAGAAGATGCCATTCAAAATGTGGCTTTTTTTAACCTCTCCCTCTTTTTGTAACGTAAAACACGTTGTTGATTAAATATTCTCAACGAAGATTCTGCACCTCCATCCCTTCTTAGTTAAATAAGTTGTGTCAAAAGTATGGCTTTTATTTCTCAAGATTCTGTTTCAAACAAAATCTCAATGAACAAGACAACTTTATCCGATACTAACAGGTGGACCGTGGCAGACGTTTTGCTCTTCATCTCCCTCTTTCTCCTTCCCCTCATTAACATTTAGTTGCAGATTCTGCAGGTCTCTGTGCAGGTGGGGTAATATCAAGAAGTGCCAGACCAGCAAAAATGTAATAAAATATTCAAAAGATCTCATTCTGCAAATTATGGAGTAAGAAAAGGTTTAATTTTTAATGCCTTAGAACATTTCATTTAGGAGTTAAATTCAGTAGTAAGAAGTAAATAGAGATTCAAAAATTCTGAGTGATGCCAATTGCATTTGAAATAAATACATAGTTTTGTTCTACAGTACGATATAGTGGAGTTACTACAAAATTAACAGTCCATAAATCTTCTGAGTGAAGAAAACACGTAGATGAGTCAGTTTTCAGTGCAATTATATGATTAATTTGTGAAATACAAAATAAGTGTCACATCAAGTTTAACTTACAAGTTCTTTTAGTGATCAAAACAATCCCTCCCAATGAGGCAATTTTTTGAAATTCTTAAAATACAGATTTTCCCATGTGTTTCCAGTGACATTTAAAAAATCTTACATATAGTATTTGAGAAATGATGTTGAAAAAAGGGACCATGCACTTAACATAAATCAGCTGATCACGGTTTCATCCAATTGAAAGCTTGAACGTTCCTGTGGTGACATTTAAAGATAGTAGATTGGATGAAACTGCAACAGCTGATTTACGTCAAGTGCATGACCAAATAAATCGTACTATACATTGGGTAGCTTTTTTTATCTTCGTGAATATCCTTATATTTAGGGGGATGAATGATAGCACTTATTTGTTAGTCAAATCACAATATCTCGAAAAAACTTTACTTATAAAAACCTATGTTATTTCTTTCAATTTAAGTTCAAGGCAAATAAAAATGTTTCAGAATAGTTCTTAAAATATCTTATATAGTTCTTAATTATTCTTATAATATTTCATTGAGATTAAATAAGGAATTTCATCTCTGGAATAAGGTATTTAAATCTACTTGCCTGGAAGCAAAATTTTTAAAAGCTGAAGACCTTATTACACACAATGCACAGAAATTGCAACTTATTTCTGTAGTGGTATAAAATTAATACACATTTCTACATTTACTCATGATTACATTGTAGAAAATAAAAGTTCCTATTTTGAAATTGTATGAAAGTTTTAAAACCTCACCATATTTGAGCATGAGTAACATTGCCTCTTTTCCTCTTCCTTTCCCTCGAGCAAAAGCTTCAGCAATCATAATTTCTGCTTCTGCCACATCATTTCCCAAGAGAAACAAATTTGTATCACCAATCATTGCATCTGTGACATAGTGAATCAACAAATTAACATATTTTGTAATTGCTTTATATTCCAAAATAATTACAGATACCTGCTGAACCAACAAGATTGCCTCTGGCCACCTTTTCATGTAACTGGTTGATTTTCTCCTTAGATGCATCTAAATGTACTATTCCTTCCATGAGCAGTGGCCAGGCTCATTTCATAGATTAACATGAATTTAAGTCATAATTCCTTGACGAACTTTCAATTTTGATTACATAACATGAAAACAAGTGGTATGAGGATTATACTGTTTATTCAGGACCTTCCTGCGACATACACAGATTATATAGAGCAGTGATATCTAGAGCTCTATATCCTGTAGGCTAATTAGTTTCCTCAAGGTGAGAACTGCTCTTCAAGTCTCATTGTGGATCAAGAACAGTAGTGGGAGGAAACAATCAATGCAGTTGTCTGCAAATTCAGGGAACTGAATGATTGTTCTATTGGTGATGTTTAAGGACAAATGCGTGAAGAAGCTTCCAGTTATGTAGATTAATAGTAATTAAAATGAGTTAATTATTTATTGAATTGTAATGAAAAGCATTTAATATTTCACTTGCACAACAAGTAATACATACTAACTTAATAGCAAAATTATGCTAATGTCCGCTTCCCATATTGTCATATCCTCTATTAAGCAGTCACCTGTACTAACGACCATTTTACTGCAGAACCTTGTTACTGCTTAAAATATATTTCACTGTATATACAAATCAAACATTAGTTCCATTCTTCCTATTATCTTTCCTCATCAGGCTTGTTAAATTACATGGAATTACTGTAAGCATTGGTAAAATCAGAAACATTCATTACCTTTATTTTCTCTATTCTGTTTTATAGGTTTCAATAATTAAATATTTTATGTACTACTAAGTACTTAATGAACTCACGTATTTCGTTTTCTGTTTCTTCCCATATTTGTTTGTCCAGAACAATAAATGTACACTCTACAAATAGAAGCCAATAGTTAGGAATGTATATACCACATATCTATTCAACAAAAGAAATGCTAAACTTACTGTCATCATCAATATGCCATGTTTCTTGCATCTTGTATTCTTCTTCTAAACTTAGTTCTTCTGATGCAGTGAGTTCTTGGAGCTCTTTTGATTTCATCCATTCATGATATCTAAAATGGTAGGATGTTAAATTACATTCATACTACAAGAAAGAAAAGTTGCAGAAGTATACAACTTAAACTTGTTCTCAAAACGATTTAAATTGGTATCAACAAAATTCAATTTACATGTATTTCCATTGTTTTTGTACACAAAAGTTCTCTTTTGTGTATGCTGATGCCATTGTCAAATAGATGTTTGACTAATGCTTTATTTACCTTAAACATTTAATAACAATTTCAAAAGATCAATTTAAATACACCAATTGCAAGAAAAGTGGCTTGTCAACATACACATGCTTAACTCTGAAAGAAAACGTCTGAACCCAAAAATGACAGACTTATGGGTATCATTAATAAAATGAAAATATTTTGGTTTCTAACTTCAATTAGAATACTGCACTGCCTTGAAGCCTTGCAGCACAAGCGTATGACAAAAGATTGGCTTGACATGTAGCAGAAAGGTCAACAAAAGTTCCGAAAACACATTGCATACTTATCAACGTGTATCCTCTTGTATGGTACCAATATTACCGTCCGACCAATAATTTTTATATTGTCGTTCTTTTTCATTTTCTTCGGGATAATGTTGACGTACTTTCAAAATATAAACCCACAGAATGTCAGGTGCAATTGGTTTTATTCGGTTTAGTGGGGTTATACTATATCTACCACATAACTCTGCGCGCTTGGTTACAATCAAATCGTTTCAACAATTCAATCTTGTGTGGATGCAAAATTTAAAAACAATTTCCCCGACAGGCGCCCCGCTTTTCGCATTTGTCCACAAAGACGAGGATGAATGACGAAAAGCGAAATTTCGCTCATTTCCACCAATATAACTTCTACTCTGTTCGTTTATTATCTGTAGCAAATGGTATTGATTGTTCTCTGCACGGAAATGATAATTACATTCATAGCATATTCCTGAATTTATAGGAACACAATATTGTTGAACATTAAAATTTTTCTAGTTTTAAACCTCAGAGCCCTGAAGAGTCTTACAGATTATTCGGCACTGGTGGCTGCACTGTAAATCTGACACTACTTTTTTAATAGTTAACTAACATACCACCAGATGTCTATGTGTGATAAATCTGTTATGGAGCAAATGGCAATGGACAATTGAAATGTCTGAAGACGGATATATACGAAATGGATGCATTTGGTATTAATGGGGAAGGGATATTGTGTTGATATGTCAGTGAATGTGTAACGTGCTTAATCTGGCATAATTCTTTGATGACTTGTGTGTTTCCTTATACATGGATGTTGTGAGTCATTCGCTTTGTGAATCGTGAATATTGGGAAATGGCTTATAACTATCCTGCTGTGGCGAACCCTCCATTGCCCCCTGGCGCAATGAGTGAGTATTTAATTAATTTTTATGCTACCCTGTGCAATATTACGTAAATATGGGGAACGGAAAAGTATGATGCTGTAATTTGAATCCCTTTAAGCGCTTCCCATGAACGTCTGAAACTTGCAGATCCTCCTCCACCTCCTCCTATGGCTTCCATGGCTATGAGTATGATGGGCCCCCAGCAACCTATGGGACAAGGAATGCCAATGGCAGCCCCAATGATGGCTCCCCAGGGTTATTTGTCAGGTCCATTAATGCCTGGACAAACTACTCAACCAGCTCCACCAGGAACTCACCAGCAGCAACAGCTGCAGATGCAACAAAGCATGTTAAATCCTGCAATGAATGATGCCCCTCTTGAATTTAACATGAATAAGAATAAACCTCCTATGCCAATAGCAGGTAGCGTATTATGAATTTTTCATTTTGACGTTACCATATTGGTTTTATTTGTTAGTTTTGCTATAAAGAATATTCATGTATTAGACTGCAGGTAAGTAATTACATTATTGAAAATAGCAATAATTGTGAACTTCAGAAGTGTACTATTTATCTATGTAAGTAATGAATAGGAGGTGAATTTTGATGACCTGAAACACCAAAAATGGTCAATAAAACACTCTTAAAATGTTTTTAAAATGCACTAAAGCAAAGAAAAATGACAAAAAAAAGATGTATTGAAACTAGTTCAGATGAACAACTCAAGTGATCCCTACCCTGCCTTTCCGTCAAGTGATCTCTACTTTCAAGTTCTTGGTTTGGTCCACGACCATAAAGGTTAGTTATCGTGAAATCAGCTGAACCAACAATGGCTCTGATAGGCATCACAGCTTAGACAGATGGATAGATTACATACACCCAATGGCTAACATTATAATTTCTGAGCACAGAAATCGAATAGGCTGCCCAGGAAGTCTGTGAAGAACATTTGTTGCATCTCGAACATTATTTCAAGCGAGTGTCATTAAAATTATATTAAATTCAATGAAATCAGTGTAAATGGTGGGGAAAAGGTAAAAAGAGACTAATTAGTCAAAATTGTCAAAAAATGCAACAAAAAAAATACGAAGAACATACATGAATTTAGTAATTTCCTTATGTCAAACATCAAGTGAATGTCTATATTAAAAGGTTTTGGTCTAATGTGAAAAGAAAAAAATGACATTTCATTAAAATTCGCCCTCTAGTAATGAAGGTCTTTTAAATTTGTGGTAAATATAGTTGTAATTTGTTATAAAATGAATAGCATATCTAAAATACATTTCAGAAGGATCTTGTCTCTGAACTAACTATTGGCGATTGTTTTCAATATTGTGCTTCAAAAAGAAAATGTTCTTAGAGCCAGTGAACATTTCTTAATATTTCTTTTTCTCAAATGTAGGGAGGTTTCGGTTTTATTCAGTGATGTCCATTTTGTGACTTTTATGATTTATTTCTGCTCTGAAAACTACAAATAGGAATAAATAACTTTATTATTATAATTAAAATGCATGCACATATTAACACATTTACAGATGAAAACATCAATAATAAAATATGCCGCTCTGCCAAGTGTATTATATTAAATAGAAATTTTGGCTTTATAAAGCACTTTTCCTCTTGCAGAAAAATACAAATCTTCCGTTTCCATGTTTTAAGACAGGTTCCGTTTTATACTGTTTAGAATGCCATTTTCCCGGCATGGACAGATTTTACGGTACTTCAAACAGTTGTGAATGAATTTCATGAAGATTTCATTGGAAGGAATAATGCCCAGTTACAGCAAAAAATTGTGTTTATACTTCTTTTGGAGGAACCTCTAATCGAAACGAGTCGATCCCGACCACCTTGTAAGAAATACTTCTTACACCGTGATTCCGACATCGCTAAATCGGTGAATGGAAAACTGGTGGCAAGAAAGGGGCAATGGCGTAAACTGGTTTGACAAGCTGGGGCACAACCGAACTGAAAAATAATATATATTATAAACAACTTGGGTAGTTGGTCCACAGACAAGTTTATGTGCGGTTTGCGTTTCTTCATTTATACAGCTTCCAATTTCATCCAATACGAACGACAGTTAAGTCATCTCTGATAAACCCTAATGTACAGCACTCTTGGTCAATAGGTACCCTTTCCGAAGTTTGCTGTGACATGTTTTTCAAAACTCAAAAACTGTCACTAAACCTGAAAGTCTTGCACGGAAGCGCACGTCCTACGTACTCCGCACTGTAGTAAATTGGGGTTTACCCACTGCGTCCAAACTGCATCGAACGAGCCAAGAAACCGATCGGGAAATTGGTAACTCGAGCTCTTCGGTGACGTGTATCTTGCCGGATAGAGAGGGAGTGAGTCACAAAAGACGCGTGCTGTGACTTCGGAGAAGCCGTTGGTTTTCGGCGGTTTCTTGTCGCCTCCAAAGAGGACCAATGCGCCGTCGAGCGAGCAATTTAATACAGATCAACAGAACTGATCTATGCAGAATTTTGAAAAATGTGTCATTGAAACAGTGTGTGGTCTATTATTATTTTTATTGCAGTTTATCTTCTATGATATTCTCGTAATTTTCTCGGTCTATCGCAGTATACACCTCTGGAAAGGGTAATTTTGTTTACTTAGAATGAATGATTGCAATTATGCGTTACGCTGATTCGGAAATGTTTAATGTTTATATCGGAGCCTCACTACCCAGCTTCGGTACTTATTTAGCAAAGTTGAAAGCGTCAAGTTTGAAGTGTTTGTCAAAACAGTACTTAGGCATTAAGTGCGTTTGAAATTATGCAGTGGACAGACTCGAGGTTAATCGCGTAGGCCGAAGGTCGGAGCCTCGCAGTATCGTTGGACACGCGTAGCGAAGTGTCACTGTGCCTTGAACTTATGGTTTCTCCACAAGATTAATATAGATCCCTTTTTTACTTTCTCGCTTTACGAAAGAAGGAAAAGTTACGTAATTGTGCGCCAGAAAACGCCGAAATTTTGCCAGAAAACATAATTTTTCAATTTTGTTGCTTCTTCCTCGACACAACGCCTCTATAAGCACTGGTTGGGCGTTGAGCGCTTGTATATTGTGTAGGAGCAATCCCCCATTTTTTATTGTCAAGTCCCGTCACATCGCAGCCAGTGTCTTTCATCCCTTCTGTCAGGGCTCTGCGCCGTTAGTAACCGGGGTTCCCAGATGATCACCCAACTGGGAACCCGTGTAGTCTCGAATTGCTGAACTTCCGTGACTTCACAGAGTGTAATTAAGCAATTTGCCTAGCAACGCCGGCTGGAGGTCTATGAAGTATTAAATGAGTTCATTGGAGATTTATTTACGACAAAACAGTTAAAACAGCGTGACGTGCTGTTGGGAGAAGTTAATTTGAAGTTATATTTATGTCCAGAAGCAAAACAAGGAGCCATCTCAGCATTTGCTCGAGGATTAGGGGAACTCGACGAAAACCTGATAGAGATGGGGGTCATTGACCCAGAAGCTGAAGTACAATACTTGTTACAGGTTCTTTACAATTATATAACCCGAATGATATATTATACATTAAATGTCATTGTTAAAATTAATATTACTTTCCTTTTGGATGCTCAGTACAGTCTCTAATTGTATAGAAATAAGGGATCAGTAGCCGAATAGAAACTGGACACCAATATTTATAATAAAGATCAAGGTCTCATTGATTACAGAAAGAATATTGATGAAATTGATAATCGATTGATTTTGACACAAAGCCACAAAACTGAACTGAATAACGAAACACTTCGAGTAATTTGTTATATGTAAATCTGTTCCTGTTCTTTCGTATTCACGGAACATAGTTACAATATTAGAAATCTCCAAAAATTATAAATATGTCGTAACAACCTTAGTCTATCCGCAATATGCGCTGCAGAAATGTATTAGTCAGTCCTTAAAAAATTCCATTCAACCATTAAAAAATTATAACGCAAAACCACACAATACCCGATTTTTTTTATTTGGCCACCAAAACTTTTCCCGAAGTATTTCGAGGTTTGAATGCTTTTCTTGCTAACAACAATATAAACATAAAAATAATAAATCTAGTTCAGCATTTTCAAGGTGGACCTCCTTATGGTTCACCATCGTCTGAACTAAATGTAAGAATCATTTTTAGTATGTGTTTTACCACATTTTGCATTCAGTTTACTGCTGAAGTGTTTTCTGCAAATGTAAACTTTGCTCTTTAATCTGCAAAACTATTTCACCATTTTGTGCACTATTGTGTACTAATTATGCCACCCCGATTATAACGTAGTCCAAGCATGCAGTATACAGTCCGCGTATTCACCGTGTTTAGAACAATATCACACATCATTTGCTCTCGTCGCTCGCCATATTGGTAAAAAAAGGTCCAAAAAGTTCGTAACGCTGAAGTATATGAGAATCCTTATATTTGATATATTTATAATTGTTTATATACATTGTTACGAATTGTAACATTAGCAACCAGATCACATTTTAACGTGCTCTCAGGGCGAAAGTCGCTTGCTTTTCACCACTGAGGTTCCGGGTTGGATTCCCGTAGAATCTCCCCGAACCTCACGAAATTTATTATGACGAGTATGCCTGCTTCACAGGGGTTAGTGGCACTGAACACATGTGAAGCGTCCTCGCGCCCTTACTTCTATCCTTATTTCTTCCCAATTCTGGCCGATGGGTAGATGACGCGGAGGGCGCGAAGACGCTACCTGTCGGCCTATTCTTTGACTTGATTACAACTATTCAGCTCTAGGGAGAGGACGCTTGTAACGGAGGTGTGCTCAACGCTCCTTAAGAAGCTAGGAGACGCGATGCGTCCTGACGCAACAAATTTAAAGGGAAAAAAACACATTAATAAATAAACATAGAAGAATTAATTACAATAGCTTTTCACTATAATTTCATTTGATTTGTCAAACCCAGGAAATGGAAGAATTTGTTATACATTCAGGGACAAGGAGTCTAGGTCTGGCATCTCTAAATAGCTCAAAATAAAACCACTAGCGGAACTGCCCCTCATCTCCCTCTTTCTCTTTGCCTCTGCCCCTCTCTTCCTCTCCCTCTCACTGCCTCCCTCCGTCCCTCCCTCTCTCTCACTCGTCCTCTTTATCTCTCACTCTCGCTCATTGTCTATCTCTCTGACCGTCTCATACATTTCGCGTTTTACTGCTAAGTGTAAGTGGCTGGTGTGGGTTCGTGTCGGTTCGTAGTCAGTAGCCAAATCGGCTTTTCTGTTGCACTATGTCCGCAGGATATCAGAGGGGAGTGCTTGTCTTCTTTGCCCTATAGTGAGGACGTATCGAGCTAATTGTTTTAGCGTTGCCGGAGCTTCGTTGGTTTGAAAGGCTTGATAATCTTCGTTAAACGAAAGCCGTCTCAAGCATTGAGTGAAGGACTCGATATCAAGTTCCTTCCTCTGTACTTTCAACCG